TTTACAATTGTTGTTGTACCTAATGTTTATAAAGATCAAGACCTTTAATACTTCATTGAAAACGGAGAGTAACACCACGTAATACCAAGAGTCAGTGTCTCCATATACACGATAATTACCGTAGATGCACCGTAATCAGGTCATTTTCTACCGTCAAGGTAATAATGTATTAAGTATTACCGTGTCATAAATCACCGTATTAGAATTATGAATTACTTTGCTGTATTATATTCATGGTATAGATACATAATACATACAAACAACAGGCAACACTGCCGAGAGACCGAGGGGAATCCCACAATATTCTAAAAGTCGATCTATACCAACAAATATCGGCAATCTAGTCTCAACCTTATTTAAGCCAACTAACGACATGTTGTCAAAAATGAATAAATCTATTTACGAAAAAGATACTGTGGTGCTAGGAGAGTCTGATTCAGAATAATAATGTTAAATTGTATATTTCACGTGTTATTGCTTTTTTTATTAATTTTTTTTTTAAATATTGTGTTTTGTTTCATTTCATAATAATATTGTATTTTTTCCTTTGATAAATTACACGGTAAATTACACGGTACATTTTTAGTAGATTCACCGTAATTTGGTATAAAACACCGTATTTTTACGCTAGCAACACGGTAACTCACGATTTACATATGGAGACACTGCCAAGAGTGCAATATCGACTATCGATCTTTTTATAAACTTTTCTCCGCGAGGGTCACGCTCACGTCACTATTTCTCTTACTTCCGTTTCCGATCTTTCTTGATTTTTTTGACGGCCATGTTTATTTTCTCAGATCTTTAATTAATGGCCGGCCGGTGGCGTCTTCTGTGAATTTGTTTGTAGGGCTTTTAATATTGATAATTTGCAAACAAACTGTGTTAAAAACTCATGAGAAGTTTAGTTTGCATTACATTTGATCAAAACATGTGTAAATAATAACTACTAACTTGGAGTCCATTCTGACCCGAGGACTGCCTACGAAATGTGCTTATAAAAATCTCGTAAGTTTCTTGTTTATTTGATTTATTTTAACACAGATTATTGATATTAAATACTTACTAGTTTCTCTAAAAGCTGAAGTAATTTTAATAAGTTATAGGTTAGAAGCTAAAATTTCCAATTTCTATTGGATGGCGGCCATATTGCCAGCGCTCCATGCCGGCGCTATTCTAATTCATTTTCAAGTTTAGCTAGCTAACGTAGTAGTAAAGTTTGTGAAACCTAAACAAAGTTATTCTGATAAAGTAAATAATCCAATCGTTTTTGTGATTACAGGGCCCGTGGCGTGGGGTCAACACTTCAGTGAGTTCTCCAAGCTCGGCTTCGTTGGTTCGCCATTTTGAAAATGTTCTCGGCGTCGCGTCGCCATGGCAGGATTTGAAAAGGTACCTACATAATTACCTAGTTAATTAGTCAGACGCCAGTCCTCTGAAAAGTAAGTTCTGACGAATTCATCGGATCTTTTTCATTCCAACAATTTCTATTGGTACACTTCACCATCTCTGTGTAAAGTTCCAATTAGATTAGTACTTCTTGATTACCACCACTTGGCAAGTAAGTAAAATATTAGCATTATTCAGAAATGGTGCAATTAAATAAATTGCCACTCATGACTTTATGCACCGAATAGCCTACTTGAGACTACTTGGGAGAAGGTGAATGTACCTTTAACCCTTATAATTTTGTAAGTACTGAAGCGGCAGGCCAGCCAAGTACCCAACTGTTGGTTTATGCTTGCGCTGCATCCCAATTTTTCAACTAAATCAAATCGGTTCAAGTGTAATTGATACATAACTGCCCAGCCTAGTACATGATTGTATCCTTCAAATCCATTCAATTTGGTTTGCTAAACTTCTACTTCTTTCCAATTACTTTTTGAGTACCACTTGCCTACCTGTTGTACCAACTGTCTAGATAGCAAATGTATGGAACATGTCGTTTACTTTCACCTTTGGCCTGATAATCACTTCGTCAGGTGACAAACAGGCCAAGAGGTTCCTCATCGTGCAAAAGTTCGTCTGGATTAAATTTAAATCAATATTTCTAGACCAGTGGTTCTTAACCTTTAAGTCATGAGGGACCATATTACCAAATTTTTGTCTTGTCAGGGACCACCTCATAATCGGTCAAAACCAGTTTGACTGCAAAAATCTGTTAAAAGTGGTTTTGGCCAAGGAGTGCAAGTGCACTTCGTGGACCACTTGGAATGCCTCCAGGGACCACCGGTTAAGAACTACTGTTCTAGACTGATAGTCCTTACACTTAGATCAGTTTTTTAAAGTGAAAGTGCTCCAATTTCCAAGGTGTTTTGAATAGAGAGCGGTAAGCTCTGCTCAGCCTTTGCGAATAAGTTTGCCATCTTAAAGAGCTTTTTTCCCCATTGTCTGATTGTGCAGTTGAGCACTAATTTGACTCTTTCCTGGTTCTGATGGCAATGTGACTTGCATGGTGTGCCTGCCAACTTAAGAAATGCTTGTTCTATTTGAAAAACTTTTCAAAACGCAATCAACTGAACTTGAAAGATCTAAACTTAGTTAAAAATATCTTTGAACATTCTATGCACTATCTAGTCTTGAACTAAGCAAAGCTTGGGTACCAGATGATGAACATTCTGAAAATTTTGCTGCTTGCAGCTGAATTACAGTCCAGTTAAATAGTTTGAGTTTGAACTTGCTTCTACACAAGTATTCTGACAAACACTTGCCAACCTAATCACTACTCAATCACTTCAATGAAATATTGCTGTTTTTACATTCACAGGCTGGAATGGGTTCTCGTCCCTACCGCCTCAAAGCGTCGTCGATACGGTCGACTTTCGCCTGACAGCCGCCACGAGAAAAAACGCAGGTAGGCATTTTTTTACCCGATTGCTCCAGAAGGAGGGTTATTTTATTTTATGTACTGATACAACAATGTGGTTCTTATCTCCTAGCCACGCCTTCTGTCCCTTACTCTGCCCCACCTAAAATGTTTGTGTCTAACAAAATGGCTATTGAGTAAAAACAGAAATTAGCTACTGGCTTTCATAATTTCGCCCAAGTATTTCCTTCACCCTGTATCGCTCATATCATTGCGGAATACTAATCTCCACTGCAACATGTTTCGTCGTCTTCTGCTCATATGACATGAGCTCGCTGCGCCTGCCTGCGAGCTTCGTGCCTGAGCTCCGAGCCTGAGCTTCGCGCCTGAGCTTCGCCCGCTTGAAACTGCAGAAAATTAGAAGGTAAGTTGTTTATTCATCACTAGCTTTCCGCCCGCGGCTTCGCCCGCGTGGAATTTTGTCTGTCACAGAAAAACTTTATCGCGCGCGTCCCTGTTTCAAAAACCGGGATAAAAACTATCCTATGTTCTTTCCCGGGACTCAAACTATCTCTATGCCAAATTTCATCAAAATCGGTTGCGAGGTTTAAGCGGGAAAGCGTAACAGACAGACAGAGTTACTTTCGCATTTATAATATTAGTTGGGATGTAATTGTTTGATTGATTGGTGTAATTGTTGACTCATCCAAGACAAAAGTTGATAGGTAACTTGTTTATTCATCATTAGAAAACAGTTATTTTATGTAATTTAGTATTAATTGAGTAATATTGGTGTAACTGTTGACTTATCCATGACTAAAGTAGATATTTCAGTTAAGTTTGATCATTAGTATAGTAATTTTATCTTTAACCATAGTTAGTCAGTCTAGTATCAGTTCTACTTACAGTCTCATAGATACACTCATAACTTCACCCCCTTGTATTGCCCTATCATTGCCGTATAATATACTCCACTGCAACATGTTTCGTCTTCGTCGGCTCAGTGACGAGCTCGCCGCGCCTGCTTGCGAGCGTCAGGCCTGAGCTACGAGCTCTGAGCCTGAGCTACGAGCTCTGAGCCTGAGCTACGAGCTCTGAGCCTGAGCTACGAGCTCTTAGCCTGAGCTACGAGCTCCGAGCCTGAGCTTCGCCCGCTTTAAACTGCAGAAAATTTGAAGGTAAGTTGTTTATTCATCATTATGAACCATTGAAAACAGTTATTTTGTGTAATTTAGTATTAATTGAGTAATATTGGTGTAACTGTTTACTCATCCGAAACTAAAGTAGACATTTCAGTTAAGTTGAACCATTTTAGAATTTTCTCTTTAATCATAGTTAATTTAGTTAGTCTAGTATGAGCTCTTTATTTAGTCTCTTAGATACATACACTCAATCAATAACTTTCCACCCCCTTGTATTGCCCCCTATCATTGCCGAATGCTAATCTCCACTGCAACATATTTCGTCGCCTTCAGCTCATGTCACGTGAGCTCGCCGCACCGGGCTGAGTCGACCTACGCGAGAGCTGCGAGCTTCGTGCCTGAGCTACGAGCTCCGAGCCTGAGCTGCGAGCTCGAGCCTGAGCGTCCGCCCGCTTCAAGCTGCAGACAACTACGAGAGGCAAGTTGATTATCCTATTTCCTAACCTATTCTTCTACTAATATTATAACTGCAAAATTTTGTGAGGATGGATGGATGATTGTTACTCACAACAAAAAACCTACACTAAAACGTCGAAAAATAATTACTAATTACCTACTTATTTATTAGGACGAATTATTAATATTTATGTAGGTATACCATGATTGATACTTCTGGAGTCGGTGCCAAGATTATGAAACATGTAAAGTTTGCCTGCACCGACTCCAAAAGTATCAATCATGGTATACCTACATAAATATTAATAATTCGTCCTAATAAATAAGTAGGTAATTAGTAATTATTTTTCGAGTGAACGATTATTTTTTTGTTGAATAGGTATTATCAAAAGGGTGGTTTCATGCGAATTTGAAGAAAATATTTCACCCCCAAGGGTGGAAAATTGGGGATGAACTTTTTTATACGCAATATCTCCGCCGATTATGAACCAATTTTTTTTTGGTCTCAGTGTACTGCCTACCTTCAGTGGTAACATCAAGGTAATAATAATTAGTTAACTAAAAAGCAAGAAATAAATAAAATTTTATTAAAAAAGAAAACCGACTCCAAAAAACCTACACTAAAACGTAGAAAAATAATNCGACCCGAGCCCCAATGTTAACCCCAGCCCGATTTTGGATAATGCAACCAGCAATTCCTCTATCTCATGAGGAACCTATGTTATGTATCAATTGTATAGCTGACATGATGCAGAGGAGGCGACATAGCCTAGAGCTTATTAAGTTCAGTTGGTTATAATGTCAGTGGATGACTCCTCAGCTGGTAAGTTATTGAATGAGTGTGTGGACTTGTTGAATACCTTTTACAATGTATTTGATCAACTACCTTTACCGTAGATTACCATAATCCTAATAAAACTTTTTTTTTAGATTGATAACAGCAGTGTATGTTGTCACTCATGTTGGACCTTGGCCACGGTGTGGCTCTGCACCAATCAAGGACAAATTATATTTCAAATGAAGAAGCAACCACTAGCACTGGTCACAGTTAACGTGGATTATCTTTGTTACAAATACGTTCCATAGACTGCATATTAACACGGAAAGAGAATCACATATTCGAAAATAATGTAATAATGGAACAGATTTCACCTCGTCAAGTAAGTTTTTTAATAATTATTTTCATTATATTTTATTAGAGACATTGGCTTGATATATTTGAACAAAGTGTATATTTTTTTCTATACAAATACTTCTAACTGATAGATAAAAATTGACATCACATCTCAATATCTTAAAGAATGAATTTTGAATGATACCATAATTAATTTCTTTGTTTCAGCTGCGGGGATCTTACCAAATATGTCATCCCTGATGGCAGTGAGCTGATCGAGCTGCTACATATGCTGTGGAGCCCCAACAAACACATGATGGGACGAGGATTCATTTGCCCTTATATTGACCGAATAACAGTAGGTCGCTGTGCTCATGTTATGACAATTTAGTGGTTTTTGAGCTGGGCAAGATATCAGGAACATGTATTTCCACCTGCCTAGTTCCTAGACAATATTTTATTGACCCATGAGTCAAGATTAAAATAATAATAATAAAAAAATGGTGTTTTATTTTGCTTCTAACCTTTCTAGTCTTAAGCCAAAAAAAATTTTTTTAAGGACTTGGATACAAAATGATATTTATATTCTGTTTCTTACTGGTATAGACTATTTAATAAATAACAAATTACATGCTGTAATGTCTGTCCACCTCAGGCCAAAGGTCCCATACTAAGTGGGCATAACTCTTTGTAGCCATTCATATCATTCCTTCCAACACTTGTCCTTTTACTCTTCCACAATTTCCATGCCTTATGTTGTTTATTATGTACTGTATCCCCAAATCTCTCTCCTACGAACATTCCCGCGTGTTATTCCTATGTATTTATGAATATTTTAACTCAAATGTTGTTATTAATTTCAGGTATATTATTCAGGTCATGCCCCAGCTATATTCTCACATTTGATGCCAATGATTTTATTTATTTATCAATAAATATAACATTATACATAATATAATATAATAATTTATTCATGTGTATCTATTTATTATGACTTTACCCAAATGAGAAGCTTTTATGAATGCCAAATGTAATTTGCATTCGCGATGGTGTTTTCTGCCTGCGCGACAAACATGCGTACAGGAATTAGAAAACCACGTCTTTGGTGGAGTGAAAGGTTAGGTATAAAACTTAAATTAAGGTAAACCCTCTTATTAACTTGTATACTCTTTCAAATAAACTATACTCTTGGATAAAGCGCTTAGCAATGACGCTGCCAGTCTACATTTAATCTGATATATCCAAAAGTTTAGTATCTATTTTTCCTTAATAATATTTTATCCATTCATTTAGATATCTCACTAGAGCACTAACAATACAACTATTTAGTTCCAGTTTGTATTTAGGTTAGCTATTATGTAGAAGTGTACATGACAATAACTACTAGAAAGTAATGCACATGGATGTTAAACTCATCCTATGAAGTTTAGTTTAGATATATTTTTATTACCCTTTACTATATCGCTAAGTGTTTAGTGAACTCATGTATGATTTAGAATCAATCATCCTATAATTATTTCCCTTTCTTATTAGTTAGATTAAGCAACATGTAGTACCTATACCATTTTAGAGTCCAACTAGCAGTGCCCGCGACTTCGTACGCGTGAAAATCATTTTTGCTCTGCACCTATTACTCGAAGCGTCATGGTATATAGCCTAATACTATAGGCCCTATAGCCTTCCTCAATAAATGGGCTTTCTAACACTGAAATAATTTTTCAAATCGGATCGGTTCGGTAGTTCCTGAGATTAGCGCGTTCAAGTAAACAAACTCTTCAGCTTTATAATATTAGTATAGATAATAGCTTTCTTCATTACTCTACCTACATTTGCTTTTAAAGCCAATATAATCGTCATCATCATCATTCCACTGAAATCAGTATACTTCCCCAATCAACTGCCAGCCAGCTTGCATACCAATGTCGTCGCAGCATACCCCAAAGCCATCGATTCCACGGCAGATTTGACCAGCCCATAGACCATAAGTATGGTAGGTATTACATTCTAATTTGTGAACATGTTATTCTGATAGCTGAAGCTACTACCTAGCTCTTGATCAACCATCTCCCAAACGAAATGATGCAGATGCGATCACGTCACCTCTGTTCCTTTTAGAAAAGTTATTTAGGCTTAAAGTACCTATGCTTCCCTCTTGCCTTTAGACTGCTAGATATTATT